GGAACTGTTTGTGATGATTAGATAAAGGTATCTGCAATCCTTAAATGTTATGGGAGGGAGGGAAACGGGTTTGCGACGTAGGAAGTGGTGAAGGAAGTAGTCAAGGCGAGCTGTCCGGAGTGTGGAAACTGTTTATGACTATTAGATTAAGGTATCTGCAATCTTAAAATGCAATGGGAAGGGAGGGAAACAGGTCCGTGACGTAAAAATTGGTGAAGGAAGTAGTCAAGGCGAGCAGTCCAGACTGTGGGAACTGTTTGTGACGATTAGATGAAGGTATCTGCAATCCTTAAATGTTATGGGAGGGAGGGAAACGGGTTTGCGACGTAGGAAGTGGTGAAGGAAGTAGTCAAGGCGAGCTGTCCGGAGTGTGGAAACTGTTTATGACTATTAGATTAAGGTATCTGCAATCTTAAAATGCAATGGGAAGGGAGGGAAATAGCTCTGTGACGTAGGAAGTGGTGAAGGAAGTAGTCAAGGCGAGCAGTGTGGAGTTTAAAAACTGGAGACCGTTTGTAGCAGTTTTAATGTATCTGCAATGCTGAAATTCTATGAGAGGGATGGAAGCATGCCCACTACATAGGAAATGGTGAATGAAGTAGTAAAGGCTAGCCGTATGGAGTGTGGGAATGTTTGTGGCAATTCACTATGGAAAGTGATGAATACAGGTCCACGACGTAGGAAGTGGCTTAGGAAGTATTTAAGAATGGGCATAGTGTGAGATCCGTCTGTGGCAGTTAGATTAATGTATCTTCAATCCTAAAATGCCCAAAAAAATCCTAAAAGGGAAGGAAACAGGCCCCACGACGTAGAAAGTGGTGAAGGAAGTAAGGCTGGCAGTGCAGAGTGGGGAACCGTTTGGGCAGTTAGATAAATGTATCTGTAATACTTAAATGCTATGAGAAAGGAAGGAAACGTGTCTATGGCGTAGGAAATGGTGAAGGAAGTAGTAAGGCTAGCAGTGCAGAGTGTGGGAACTGTCTTTGGCAATTACATTAAAGTATCTGCAATCCTAAAATTCCATGGGTACAGGTCCACGAAGTAGGGGGTGGTGAAGGAAGTAGTAAAGGTGAGCAGTGTTTAGTGTGGGAATGGATTAATGTATCTGCAATGCTAAAATGCTACAGGAAGAGACTGTAGACTATTATGTTAAAATTATTACGAAGCACGAATCTATACATATTTTCGATACATGCAATCGTTTACAGTCGAAATTTACAACTGAGTTGACAACAGCTGATTTTTACTCCATAGAGGCTAAAAACGATTTTTACTCCCTTATTATTAAAAATGCTACTTAGATACCCGCAACGCATGCAATAAAAACGACTATTTTTACTGCAGAATGGCAAAAACAATATAATATGAACCCTTGATGACTCCGCTCAATTTTGTGGATGCCTCTGCGAACGCCACCTAGTTTAATGTACAGCAATACAATAAGTAGCGTCACAGTTCCTTAATCTAACTCAGTACATTGCATTGAATTGTTCAGTTATGAAATTGACAGTTATCTACATACATCAGCATTCAGCATTCACATCAGTTTTCTTTGATTTTCTTTAATCAAATGGGATATAAAACGTATAACTCAGCCCAGGGCCGTACCCAGCTTTGGCAGCCCTCGGTAAAGGTAAAGACACCTGGCTCAGCCAATTACTCTACTGTAATAGGACTGTGGTTAAAAGTTTAGAAGAAGAACTTTTAAGAATCTACCTATTGATAGAAAATTGTTTTCAGAGACAATGGCCTGCAACCACTGATTGTTCATCTACCCAAACAATTGAAAAAAGCAAAAACAGTTGCAGCCATAGTTAAATCAAACTCAAAAATTAACTCACTGTCAGATTTGAGAGGGAAAAAAGCTTGCTTCTCCTCAGTGGATGGTATAGGTAAGAAATTGTATTATCTTCCCTATACGTCTTCTTTATTTGTTTACATGAACCACCAGCCTATAGGCCATTATAATGTAAAAGTAAAAAAATCTGTATTTCACCCCCCCAATGATTTTAATTGTTAATAACTGGGAAACAAAATTGAATTGATACCTATATTACTCTCTTTTGGCTTACTTTGGCTCTTTTTATATTACCCTACCTGCTAATTGAAAGGAACTCAAGTGATCATATTGATTGTTATTGAAGCCTCCAACTTCCCTCTATTATATTCTGCCATTATATTCTGCAGAGACTCTAGTCTTGCCAGAACGGACGTACTTGCTTGTCTCATGTTAAGTAGGATACAGTAGATAAACAGCTGTGCTGGTAGCCCGTAGCTCCGGTGAGGTGAACATCAGCTTATAGTACATTTAAATCTTTCCACACGCTATCAAAGATTACTAGTGCACCTGTTGCTCAAATTCGAGCAATTGCTAAGTATTACATGCGTTATCTCAAAACTAATAATAAAAGTCATAATTTCCGATGACTTAAAAAAGTCCACTCAAAGATAATGTTATCGATCACTCCACTCTAGTTATCGAAACTGAAAACGAACTTACTCTGAAAACAAATGCTCACTCCACTCCAGTTATTGAAACTAAAAACTAACTCACTCTGAAAACGAACGCTCTTTTTGTGTATTATGAACAGCTGCAATGAATACAAATTATTCGTCTGTTTAAGTAAACAAAATCTTTCCTTCATAAGAAATACATTGGGATTTTGATGACATATGGGGCAAAGCCCGAAGACTTTTATTGCAGGAAATGTTGAAAGGGCGGTCTACACAACAAATACTTAATTATGACACCAGGTTTGTAAAAATCCGACCATTATTAACGGAGGAGTAGTGTTTCGTAGAAATCGCATTCACGTATTATATATGAGGATTATATGTTTTCAATATTTGAAACAAATTATTATCTTTTCAGTAATTTATGGACCAATTTCAGAACTATTCAATTGAAATGTTTACATTTTCTGAAGTTATTAACTTAAATTCTAAGCTATTAAATTTGTTATTAATTCTTTAAATGGTTTCAAATTTGTAGGATGGACTTCATTTGCAATGTACCTACGAAACACTGAAGAGTGCCCCTATACCAAGGCAATGTCCAAGTTTTTCTCTGATATATGCATCTCCAAGCCTAGCTCTTCTGTGGCGCCTTACTCCAACATCAAAGTTTGCTCGGAATGTAAGTGTTAATTTATTTTTAAATATTACAAAATATTATTTTTTAAATTGATTGGTGAATTTGTCAAGAAACACATACATTAATTCAAACGTGATGTCTCAACAATTTTTTTTACATTTATTTTCATGAAGGTACAAAAAATACGTCTGCGATGGTAAGTTTGGTGATCGATTTCGATTGGACACTTCAATCGTCATCAGACCTCAATATCTTTTATATGTATTTACTGTCTTGTTAATCAACACAAGTGTGTAAATCTATTATTACAAGTGTTATTATACATATTTTTGTACTTTGAGGTAGGTAATTTAATAACACCTACGATGCTGATTAAGAAGTTATTTAATTATTTTCTGTTAACTGGTGAGTGCCAATCCAAATTCGCTTTATTTCATCCTAAGTGTAGAATAATACACTCCCAACACCAGGTTTCTACATAAAGTCACAACTAACTGGTAACAATTAATCCTTGACAAAAAAGAGATATGCCATATACTAGTTCTTAGTCAATTATCCATAATTCATTGAGATGGTCTTATGAGTCAAAGGTATAAGAAGATTCAGATTGTCTCTTACTTAGCACTTATGTTTGTTGACATTATTTCAAAGTCTGATACATCAGCCACCAATAGCAACACCACCAAACTTCAATTCATAACTGACTATGCAAGTACCTATAACTGAACAAAAATGGCTGAAAGCTATACTTGACATGTGCGCTAGCTGAGTGGCCAGGAGCATTTGTCTCTCTAGCCAGACTAGCACCATATAGACTAGAGGTTTAAATTCCGTCTTGGTCAGGTCTCATGTGCAAACTCATGAGGAGGACTGTGGAAGAGCTTGGAGAGGAAGAGCCCAAAAGTTAAAACTGTTTGTTTAAGGTTTATTGTTGACTTTATTTACAGACATTGCTGACAGATGGTTTGATCAAGGAGAGTTTGGCAATTCACAATACGACAATGAAGCTTTGGCATTTCAGTGTCTTGCAGTTGGAGGAGGAGACGTGGCATTCATTTCTAAAGATTCTATCCCAAAATATCTAAGTAAGTAAAGCTTATCCCCAACAGCACAATGGGCTTGCTGGGAACTTGTTCCAAGTCCATTGGCCCAAGTTCCCAAGCCTGGTTTAGACTCAGGGACCAAAGTCTGTAGGCTTGGTTTTGACTTGTTTTAGAGACCGAAGTTGGCAGTTGTTCAACTTGTTATGGGTTTGGCTCCCCAAGTCCAACCCAAGTCCCAACCCCAAACCTACAGTGAACTCATGGGCACAAACCCACTCTAAGCTTGGAATGATGGATACAAAACGGGTCTGGTGGATTAAGCAGGCTCATTATGGACTTGTTCGGGACTTGGGAGACCCAAGCCCAATTTTAGTAGGCTCATATTGGACTTGGCTTAGACTCATATTGGAATTGGTTTTAGCACATTTTAGACTTGGGCAAACAAGCTCACACGGATAAATTAAACAGGCTCATTATGGACTTGGAGACCCAAGCCCGCTTTTAGTAGGCTCATATTGGACTTGGCCTAGACTCATATTGGAATTGGTTTTAGCACATTTTAGACTTGGGCAAACAGGCTCACACCTATAGACTCACTCAGAACTTGGTACGAAGTTTTATATACTTCAATTACTGTCATGATCAGAGATAATAATAATTATTATTATTATAATAGGATATAGTAATAGTAATATAATTTATACCTATTTAACATACAAGCTGTTTCACACCATTCATTTGCTAGCCCACATTTTTTCTTATAATTAATTTTTTACCAAGAAAGATTTATTATAAAATGAAGCCTATTTTATGAGTGATCTTGAAAAAATATTGGTTATATATGAGGTTTAGAAAGTAAGACATTCACATTTCAAGACAATTTATTAATATAATAAATACAATGCCCACTATCTTCCACTTCACCTTCAACTTCTTTTCTGAACCCATCAACTCCACCGCCTGCTTCAGAAGATCTATAAAAAATACAATTGCATTAGAATTATTTGGTTTATTAAAATTTATCATTTAAATCATTTTTCATTATTTTTATTTGTTATTATAATTATTTGATTATTTGGAATTTGTTGGTGTTGCAAACTCAGTGAAGCGCTGAGTATGTCAAAGGTTAAAACACAAAAGGTTTAGGCTATAAACAAAATTCTACGGGTTCTGGTTCTTGATGCAATGAAATTAATTGTTTGCTTAACTTAGCTTACTTATATCATCATAGACACATAGACTAACCAACACAAGTATATTTTTTATCAATGGAGTTTAAATCTTACCTTTACAGGAATCCCTTAATTCTTCTTTGCTTCGTCTTGGTATCAAAACCATAAACAAAACTCACAACTAGTAACGAAACGAGTAACTCACAACACCAGAACTAGATAAGTGAGAACTGACAACTGAGAGTGAGGAAGTCTAAATCCAACAAAAATGGTGATTCAGCACAAAGAAACAGGTTTTAGGAGCGTTCTGGGTAGGGGTGGAGGGAAAATTCTTTTGTCATATGGCACTGCTCACTTTAGACTCACATGAACAAGCTTGTCGTGGGTCTGGTTAGGTGTTTAAATTGTGGACTTGGCCGACCAGGTTATATGAGGCGGTCCATTCCAAAACTCGCCTACTCCCAAACTCAAAATTTTTCAGGAAACGCGAAAAACGTATAACTAACATATGCCTTTAGACTTTTTGATGAAAAATATTTAAAAAAAAAGAAAAAAATCATACAAGTTTATTGAATACTGTAAATACCAAATATATTTATTACAAATTTAGTTATTTGCGTTTAAAAAATGCACAAGGCGAGTTTTGGAACGACACTTTGGATTAGGCAAGTTTTGCTCCAACATACATTGGATTAGACCAGTTTTGCCATAACAAAAATTGGATTTGAATAATATTCTTCTGTTTACAGTGAACATGGTGGGTATAATAAATGAAAACCTTTGAAATTAATATTAAAGTGAATGATTTATTATTACAAGTTTTTTATATGAAAACAAAATATACAGAAAATTTTGATTGAAAACACATTTGAAAATCTTTTAAAAAACTTTAAAAATCCTTAAATTGAAAAAAGCATTTAATTCAAATCTTTAATTATTAAAAAAACAAAAACCTTTAAAACTACTTTGTAAAAAACTTTGTCACTAGTCAGTGTCTCATTGTCTTTAGTTTCAAACAATTAAATCGACGCCTTCTTCCCCCTGGCAACAGGCATATTCTTCATCCTCGTCGATACTGGCACCAGTAGCTGCTACACCATGACCATATGTATTAAGAACATTCTTCAGATAGGTTGTTGATGGATTATCAAACCAATTTTCACCAAAGTGACTGATGAGTAGTTGTTTGACATCACTGATTTTGCTTGGCTTAACTACAACACCCCGTGGAACCTCACCGATGACTGCATCTTTCAATCTTTTATTTTTCTTCATAACTGATCCTGGATTGTTCATGTCAGACTGGTATGACACCTCACCTCTTATTAGAACATTAGTCAATGATTTTGTTCGTGACAGTATGAACCGTTTGCAAAAGGAAAACTGGAAGTGCCATTGCCCTGGTTTTTTAAAAAGTTCTGTGGCACTTGTTTTCCAATCGTACACTTTACAATCTTCCCCTAGTTTTGATACTGTCCCATATTTGTTGAAGACATCTGTGTATGTATTAGGTTCATAGATAACGGGCATTTTTTTGAGGTCTTTTTCGATTAAACCAAAAACCCGGTCGGATGGCAGGAACGAATGCCCCCTAACTGGAAAAACAATTTCTATTCTCTTCACATTCGCTGGAGCACTATTTAGCAGATAGTGAGCACACATAAATATCATGTTAGAGTTCCTGTTCTGGCCACCACAACCGTCAGCACAAAGCCTAATTACAGAGATATTAGACAGGTCAGTTTTCACTAAACAATCATGGACTGCAGAAGCTATTTCATTGGATGACTTACTATAGTCATTTTCATTCCAAGTATAAATGTATACGTTGTCTTTGGTTAACTTTTCGTTGGATGAACCTTTTACTATTGTAAAATTGTAGGTATATAGTTGCCTACTATAGTAGGCTATTTGGTCTGGCACTTTAGGAACTACTAAATTTTTTTGGCAGTCAAAACTAAATGTTTGCAAACCGTCTGCATTTTCCTTAAGCTTAGTATAGAAAGCATTTGCACGTAATTTATGGACACGTAAACTTATCATTGTCTTTGATTTTGCACCAGGATCCTGTAAGGTTTTCAACTGTTCTTTGTATGATAAGCAAGTTGAACAGGCGTCCGTCACTGGACTTCCAAAACCAATATTATATTCCACACAAAACAGTGTCCGAAAAAAAGTTTTTCTTACTTTTAGTTCAACTGGTGCCTGATTGTTGTACATCCTCCAAATTTTAGATATATTTAAATCTCCAGGCAAATACTGGCGAGCTTGTGACTTTCCCCTACAGTAATGTGTTTCAGAGCAGTTTTTTAAACCTTCAATAAAATTTCTGACTGATGTTTTTTTGGCTAAGAACCTTTTTGACGTTTTATCACCACCACGTTTCTCAAGAGGCATTTCACCTGTACGTAAATGATTGCGAGCAATCCTCTGCACTCTATCTTTTGAAATTCGCAAGATATTCAGAAAAGTTTTTTGGCAGACTTGAAGTTTAAAATCACCAGCATTCTTAACTTTTACATAGTAGTTAACAGAAATACCTTTCTTACTGCTGTCCATCTTTTTAGACCTTCTTCTAGCTGGTTCACGTATTCCAATATATTTTAAAATAAACGCGTCTTGGGTTGCCTTGTCAGTAGTCTTGTAAAAGTTATCGTGAAACTCCTTGACGTCTACGATCCTTAGATTCTTACATCGAAATGTCTTGTTGCCTTTGTGGTCACACGATGGCATGTTTGGCAATCCCTTTGGCTTGTGCCTAAAACAAAACAAAGCTATGTAGTACGCCTATAATCAAGCCGATAAGTAAGCAGCTGATCAAATAACATTGCACTCAATTATTCTAAAAATATATTATTTTTTAAAGTAAAAAGTAGTAACAGTGTTAAAGTTTGGTTAGGAACATTAAACTAAAAGTAAACAAAACAGTGGCTTACCTTTGTCGTTTTAATTTGTTCTTTGCCCAGTTGTCAGGATCTGCCTTCCTCTTTCTACCTTTCCCTTTTTCTGCAGGCCTTATAGATATATCCATTTTCAACTAATTATCAACCTTTAATCAATTAATAACTTATTATTTAAAATAAAAAGCAAGGAACTACTGTCACTTTGACAGAGACAAGAAGATCACACACAATGGCTGCCGGCCAATCACGTGACCTCACAGCTGGGCTGTGATTGGTCGGTTGGATTAGACCAGTTTTGGAATGACATGTGCGCTGGAAAAGGCGAGTTTTGCTATGATACTCGATTTTCAATGCTTATTTTAACGGGAAAAGACAATTTTTGGCACGATATGCTTATTACAGTCAAATGAGGATTAACCCAAGGAATCCAGTGGTACCAATATCTCAATTTCGAAAAAACATGGAAAAGGCGAGTTTTGGAATGGACCGCCTCATATATGTAAATAAAACAAGTTTAGTTTTGGCGCATTCACACAAGTTCACTTAACCAAAGCTGTTTTAAATTTGTAGTGGGTTCCAAATTCCAAGTTTGTCATACCAATTCAGAAATATGTAAAAACCAAGTTTGGTCCAAGCTCACGTGCTGTCTGGGTATTAGATATCACTACAGCCAAGAGACACACTCCTCTTCTCTGGTTTTGTCTTCGTATATGGCTTTAATGTGGGTCCTTAGCATTCGCTTAGTGACAAGGAGCAAATGGAGTATAATCACACTGTGCCAGTATGAAAGGGTTGCTTCGTGATATGTAATATTTTATTTTGGAAGCTCTGAGGCAGTGGCGGTTCCAAGGGGGGGGGCTACAGGGGCTAAAGCCCCCCCCCTTGGACCCTGGAAAAATAAATTTAAATGTACATTTCGTCCTTAAAACAAATTCGTCCATAAAACAGACATCAATGTAGTTTTTATTAAACTTAATAAGCGATGGCAGGGGCAGTATTAAGTTCCACATAGATACACTTTGTGGACAATAGCACAACGAATAAAACAATATTGACGCTATGGACATTCACTGAATGCTATTAATGAATTCGATTCTATACATATTGTGACAGATCTATGAAATGGAGAAAAACGTAAGGTTAAAAACGTGCTTATACTTGCTTGCATGACATATAACAGTTGAAATGGAAGGTTTTAGGACAATTGGACACAGTTCTAGCCGTTATAAATGGCTTTATAAAGTCACCAAACGGCTTTTAGGAGATGGCTTCGTAGTCTACAGTAGGCCTATGTTTTGAAATTCATGAATGCAAGTTCGTTATAGTTTGTGCTCGTTTGTAATTGTCTACTTGCTCATGACTAACAAAAATAACAGGTGAAATGGGAGGTTTTTTGGACAGTTGGAACAGATATAGACGTTAATAATGGCTTTAGAAAATCAGTAAACAGCTTTTAGGAGGATACGGCCGTAGCCTACAATATGTTTTGAGATTTATGAATGCAATCGTCATAGTTATTTTTAAAAATGTCTACTTATTCATGACAAATAAATAAGGAAATGGGAGGTTTTGCGCACAGTTCTAGACGTTAAAACTGGCTGTAGAAAGTCATCAATCGGTTTTTAGGAGGATATAGCCGTAGTCTACAGTATGTTTTGAAATTCATTAATGCAATCGTATAGTTTAATTTTTAAAATGTCTATTTGCTCATGACAAACAACAGGTGAAATGAGAGTTTATGGACAATTGGGCACGGTTTTAGGTGTTAAAAATGGCTTTAGAAAGTCACCAAATGGCTTTGAATATTGCAAATTTTCCCGGGGGAGGACCCCCAGACCCCCCTGCTTTATTGTGGGGTGCTCCGCACCCCCCCAAACACCCCGGTAGACCCCCCCTTGACAAGGTCCTAGAACCGCCACTGCTCTGAGGTTATGTTTAAATGTATTGAATCTGTATTTCTTTCATTAAATGTTTAAAGGTAGGTAGTATTGTGATTAAAAGTACTGTTCTTGTATGCTCCCTTTATTCCTTACTTCTGTTTTGTCTTTTGCAATGTGAATAGGTAAAGTTTTTTACAAAAAAGTTGTGTTGACCAATAGCAAAAGATGCAATCCCTAAGCTAAGCAATGGCTGTAACCGAACAACTAGCTCAGTTGCTTTAAAAGCAGCTACGATTAATCTAACAGACGTCAAGTCGCTGAAATGTAAACACCACAAAAACAGGGGTTTATTGTTTCAATAGGTACATTTTTTATTTTGCTTTCTGACGTATTTTTTATTTTCTAGAAGATCTGAACAACAACCCTGATGCAGCAGGGCTGACAGTGGACAGTTTCAAAGCGTTATGTGA